GTTAAACTGTAAGTGTTTAAGAAACTGAGAACCATGTGATCATTTTTCCTTAGCCCCTGAGAGAAGAAAACCCATGGAAGACTAAGCTCCTCTGCCTGTTTCTCTGACTGTAATGGGATAAGTCCTCATGGCCAGACGGTACAGCCTGAGTTTGAATCCTGGCTCTGCCTAGTTTTCTCATCTGTAGGATGGGAATCATAATAATAGTAGCACACGCTCCAGAGGCTGTTGTGAGGCCTAGATAAGGTCACGTGAAGTGTCTGGCATGGGACCTGGCACAGAGTAGGTGTGTGTACCATGAAATGACACCCCCCCACACACTTTCTGTACTGCAGGTGGCAACCTCTCCTCCCACCCATTCTTTTCTATTTTTTTTTTAAGTTTATTTTTTCTAAGAGAGACATACACATCACACACACACACCAAAGGAACAGGACCCTCACCACACAATCCACGCCCTGTCTCAGGTGGCCTGGTCACTAGCATAAGCACACCTGGCATGCTCAGGAGGTCCCAGGACATCATCCCAGGACCTTTTCCTTGTGGGCCCAGTTGTGTTACCACTGTGCCACCACTTGGCCTCACTCTGGCTTTTCATACAGGCCAGTAACCTGAGTCTTTTTTTTTTCCTTTAGAATAATTTATTCAATTTTACTTATTTATTATTATTCTTTTAAAATTTTGCTGTAGGACATTTGGGCTCACCAGAGAGGTGGGGAGAGGGAAAGTTTGAGAAAGTGAGAAAACAAGCTGCCGGGTCTAGGACTTGAACCACAATTGGCCATGTGGAAGTCCGGCACCTCAACCACCATGCCAGCTGCTGTAAACCCTGCTCTCTGGCCCAGCACACTGCACGTGTCCCTGGCTTTCGGCATCTCTTCTTCTAAGCCTGACTTTCTGTAAACTCCTTCACAGCCTCGTTGACCACCAGCTCCCATTGGAGACACCTTGTCTTGGGGCTCCTAGTATCCCAAGGTCTCAGTGCCGCCCTCACCTTCTCAGGGATCTGGGTCCTGGCTCCCTGCCTTTGTTTGACTGTTCTGACCAGTTCTCTGCACTCAGCTCTGGAAGTTCCCTCTTTAGAAGTGCTTGCACCTCCCTCCCCCGTATCATCTGTTCTGTCTTTTTTTTTCTCCCCCCCACCCAGTTTTGTTATAGGGTGTGTGTGCTTGGCAGAAAGAGAGAGAATGAGATATGACACCCCCCCACACCCGGGGGAGATGGCCATGCCACAATCCTTTCTCCGTTTTTCTATTGCAATTTTGGGTACTCACGCACCAGTGCCTCGCATGTGTTTTTGTTTTTGTTTTTTAAAAATAATTCTTTTTATTTATTTTATTTATTTTTAGTCATTTATTTTAATTTGACCAGAGAGGGACAGAGTGAGAGAGAGAGAAAGAGAAAGGGAAAGTGAGAAAGCAAGCCACCAGGTCCAGGATGCAAACCATGGTTGGCCATGTGGGAGTCCAGTGCCCATAACCACCACGCCACCTGCTGGCCCAGAGCCTGGCATGTTTTTAAGCCCTGGATCCAGGACTCGAGCTGCACAGTAGGCCGTGTAGGATCCAGCTGCTTTAACCACCATGCCACTGGCTGGCCCCATTTGTTCCTTTGCTTATGTGCTTTCTAGTCAGAGTCTTTTTGACTACCAGTGGAGACCCATTCTAGAAAAGGGGGCGGTTGGACCAGCAGATGGCATAATGGTTACATCACTAGACTCCCACATAGCCTACTGTGGTTCAAGTCCTTGACCCAGCAGCTTAAAACTCACACTGGGTATGTGAGCGTGGTTGCCCAAATCCCAAGAGGAGCATGGAGGAAAAGGAACTGTGGTGTGGCCATCCCCCCCTGGGGGTGATCTCTCGCTTTCTGTTTCTCTGTCTGTCTCTGTCTCTTTGGCGAGTGCACATGCCCTATAGCAAAAATCTCTCTCTAAATAAAAGAAAAGGGGGGCTGTTATTTTAAGGACAGAAAGGTGATAAAAAGGGTAGACTATTGCAGGCATCCAAAAAAAAGCCAGAGGGATGTTTTCAACCTAAGTCTTGGGTAGCTTCCCTCACTGCACCGAGCGTGAAATCTGTGCTCCTTCCTGGGGCCCTCAGCGTCCCCCCACTTGATTCCCTGCCATTCTCCCCTCCCTCCTCCTCTCTAGCCACATGGCTGCTTCCTCTTTGCCCCCCACAGCAGCCCAGCTCGAGTGCCCTAGGAAATCACCCTGGAGTATTTGAACCCTTCACCCTGTTTTCCGTTGAAGCCTCCTCTGATTCTGGAGCAAATTCCCTGTGTTCCCCAAAGGAGCCTTGGCCCTTGGAAGTAGGAAGGAGCATGGGAGTCCCTGTCCCTGGGTGAGGGAGCCCAGTAGAGTGCAGTGGAAGCTCCCCGGGTCTTGCCTGTGGTCTTCCTTCACCCTGGCCACTTGCTGTTGTTAGCGTTTCTTTTCTTTCTATCTTCCTCCCCTCCCCTCCCCTCTTCTTCCTTTCTCTCTTTTTCCCTTCCTTTTTTTAAAAATTATTTATTTTACTAATTATTATTATTTTTAAGTTTGTTATAGGGCATTTGTGTTCACAAGTGAGAGACACAGAGAGAGAGAGAAAGGAAGGGACAGCAAGAAAGCAAGCCACCAGATCCAGAACTTGAACTACGTTTGGCCACATGGAAGTCCAGCACCTTAACTACCACACCACCTCCTAGCCCTTTCCTTCTTTTTCTTTTAAGAATTATTTTATTGAACTTAATTTTATTTATTTATGTATTTATTTTAATTTGAACAGAGAGGGACAGTGAGAGAGAGAGAAAGAGGGAAAGTGAGAAAGCAAGCCACCAGGTCTAGGACTTGAACCTCTGTGCTTGGCAGAAAGAGAGAGAATGAGATATGACACCCCCCCACACCCGGGGGAGATGGCCATGCCACAATCCTTTCTCCGTTTTTCTATTGCAATTTTGGGTACTCACGCACCAGTGCCTCGCATGTGTTTTTGTTTTTGTTTTTTAAAAATAATTCTTTTTATTTATTTTATTTATTTTTAGTCATTTATTTTAATTTGACCAGAGAGGGACAGAGTGAGAGAGAGAGAAAGAGAAAGGGAAAGTGAGAAAGCAAGCCACCAGGTCCAGGATGCAAACCATGGTTGGCCATGTGGGAGTCCAGTGCCCATAACCACCACGCCACCTGCTGGCCCAGAGCCTGGCATGTTTTTAAGCCCTGGATCCAGGACTCGAGCTGCACAGTAGGCCGTGTAGGATCCAGCTGCTTTAACCACCATGCCACTGGCTGGCCCCATTTGTTCCTTTGCTTATGTGCTTTCTAGTCAGAGTCTTTTTGACTACCAGTGGAGACCCATTCTAGAAAAGGGGGCGGTTGGACCAGCAGATGGCATAATGGTTACATCACTAGACTCCCACATAGCCTACTGTGGTTCAAGTCCTTGACCCAGCAGCTTAAAACTCACACTGGGTATGTGAGCGTGGTTGCCCAAATCCCAAGAGGAGCATGGAGGAAAAGGAACTGTGGTGTGGCCATCCCCCCCTGGGGGTGATCTCTCGCTTTCTGTTTCTCTGTCTGTCTCTGTCTCTTTGGCGAGTGCACATGCCCTATAGCAAAAATCTCTCTCTAAATAAAAGAAAAGGGGGGCTGTTATTTTAAGGACAGAAAGGTGATAAAAAGGGTAGACTATTGCAGGCATCCAAAAAAAAGCCAGAGGGATGTTTTCAACCTAAGTCTTGGGTAGCTTCCCTCACTGCACCGAGCGTGAAATCTGTGCTCCTTCCTGGGGCCCTCAGCGTCCCCCCACTTGATTCCCTGCCATTCTCCCCTCCCTCCTCCTCTCTAGCCACATGGCTGCTTCCTCTTTGCCCCCCACAGCAGCCCAGCTCGAGTGCCCTAGGAAATCACCCTGGAGTATTTGAACCCTTCACCCTGTTTTCCGTTGAAGCCTCCTCTGATTCTGGAGCAAATTCCCTGTGTTCCCCAAAGGAGCCTTGGCCCTTGGAAGTAGGAAGGAGCATGGGAGTCCCTGTCCCTGGGTGAGGGAGCCCAGTAGAGTGCAGTGGAAGCTCCCCGGGTCTTGCCTGTGGTCTTCCTTCACCCTGGCCACTTGCTGTTGTTAGCGTTTCTTTTCTTTCTATCTTCCTCCCCTCCCCTCCCCTCTTCTTCCTTTCTCTCTTTTTCCCTTCCTTTTTTTAAAAATTATTTATTTTACTAATTATTATTATTTTTAAGTTTGTTATAGGGCATTTGTGTTCACCAGTGAGAGACACAGAGAGAGAGAGAAAGGAAGGGACAGCAAGAAAGCAAGCCACCAGATCCAGAACTTGAACTACGTTTGGCCACATGGAAGTCCAGCACCTTAACTACCACACCACCTCCTAGCCCTTTCCTTCTTTTTCTTTTAAGAATTATTTTATTGAACTTAATTTTATTTATTTATGTATTTATTTTAATTTGAACAGAGAGGGACAGTGAGAGAGAGAGAAAGAGGGAAAGTGAGAAAGCAAGCCACCAGGTCTAGGACTTGAACCTCCATTGGCCATGTGAGAGTCCAGTGCCCTTAACTACCACACCACCTGCTGGCCCCTTTCCTTTCTTTTTTAAAGTTTGCAAAAGAGTGTGTGCCCTCCCTGGAGAGAGAGAGAGAGAGAGCAAGCGAGTGCAAGCATGCAAGTGCAAAGCAACCCCTCCCCTCCATGGGGAATGGCCACGCTGCAGTCCCTTCCCCATTTCTCCCTCCTCAGGACTGTGAGCACACATGCACCCAGAGTGCTTTTCAAGCCGCAGCTCCAGAACTCAGACACGCAGCCAGCCATGTGTGTTCCAGCCACTTGACCACCACACCACTGGCTGGCCCCCACTGATATTTCTTTGAACAGATACAGATGAAGCCCTTGGAGGTGTCAGACAGGAGCCTTCTCTGTTTTCTGGCTCTGAAAGCCTCCTGAAAGCTGTGACCCTTGTGGCGGTCACATTCACAGACTGTCCTCCCCACCCCCTTTCTGTGCCACAGGTGATTCTCCTGGTTCACTGGCTCCTGACAACCTGGTGAGTGGCTGTGTGTGCAACTGCATCCACGCGTCTCCTGGGGTCTCCAGCTCTGGATCTGAGGGTCTCCTGGGCTCTGTGTCAGCTTGGTCAGGTTCTGGTTCTGCCATGTTCTAGTTGGGTTACTTTGGGCAAGCAATTTTTCTCTCTTGGGGTCTTGTTTTCTTCCACAATGGGAATGAAGACTGGGCACCCTGCCGGGGTCAGGAGGAGGAAGTATGAAGTGCTCTCAGACACTCCCCAGGCCCAGACACTCCCCAGGCCCGCCACGCAGGAGGTCCTGGGCTGCTCTTCATTGTCATTATCTGTTGAATCTGTTGTGCTTCCGGGATGATTTCTCTGCAAACCAAGCCTGGAAGCCGTTGAGCTCCCATGTGCATTTTGTGAACTGTGAAGTGAAGTGCACATGGAAACAGCTGTGAGTAATATGAACAGTGCTGATCATGGTTCATGACCTTGGGGAGCCAGGTTCAAATGCAGATTTCTCAGTCACTCCCCAGAATTCTGAGCTGATGAGTCTGGGCTAAGGCTCAGCCTCCTGCCTTAAAACAAAAGATGCCACAGTTTATTTAAAGACTTGTTGAGCCAAATTGTATTCTACAGAACTACTGTACACATGTTTTCTGCATGATAACACTTCAGTGAATGTCATTTGAACTTACGAAGCACCCTACTGTGTGCTGGGGCAGTCAAGGCCCAGGGAATGTCATGAGAGTGAAGTCCTCCTGGGTCTTCTTTTTGGTAGGACAAGAACATGGCCTGGAGCCAGACTTCAATCCCCAGTCCCACCACTTAGCAGCTCTGTGACTTTGGGCAAGTTGCTTAACCACTCTGTGCCTCAGTTTCCTCATCTGTAAAATGAGGGTAATAATAATGTCTCCCTCCTACAGTTGTTAACATAAATGCACATGAATGATTAGCTTAGAGCACTTGGAACCTTGACAGATACTAGCTAGTGTGTCTGTTAACTATGATCCCCATTGGATTGACAAGCAAGCTGACAAGTAAACTAGGTCAGTTAGTAGCAGTACCCTAGGAAAACAGAATAGGGTGGGCATTATGCTAGGAAAGGGACAAGGCGGTTGGTGAGGGAAGAGGTAGAGGAGAACTCTTTTGAGCTGGCACTAAATGACAAAAAGAGGCCAAGAGTTCAGGGCAGTGGGAGCAGCTCAGGGCAGTGGCTCGGAAGTAGGTAAGGGTGAGTCCATATCTGGAGGAGCCCACAAGGTCCCTTAGGCCAAAGGAGTCTGCACAGATAGCTATATCTAGATCCATCTATTACCTACCTACTTATTTTTTGCTAGAGAGAGAGGGAGGGAAAGTGAGAAATCACCCCCCAGTGGGGATGGCCATGCTACTATAGTCCCTTCTCACCCAGTCTCCTCTTGGGATTTTGGGCATGACGCACACGTGCCTGGTGTCATTTTCAAGCCTCCAGGTCTGGGACTCAAACCACGCAGTTGGCCATGTGGATCTAGCACCGTAGCCACTATGCCACCTGCTGGCCCATTTTATTGCATATGGTACAGAAAATCGTTGGAGGACTTTTAGTGGAGTGACATCATCTGATCGCCATTATTTGTTGCTGTGCAGACTGTAGGTGCAGGAGTGGCCGTAAAGACAGTGTGAGGCCAGGGTTACAGCCTGGCAGAGGAAAGAGGAAAGAAATTCAGGACCTGGTGGCCACAGAACTAGTAGGATTTCCTGACCTTGAGACCCTGGGGCAGGAGGGAGGTGACCCGAGGTATGATGGCTGCCCAGCCGGACTGAGGTGCTTCTTCCTGCAGGGGCTGCATCGTGTTCGCGGGTGCCTACGCCTGGGCCAACTTCACCGTCCTGGCCTTGGGCGTGTGGGCTGTTGCTCAGCGAGACTCCATTGATGCCATAGGCATGGTGAGTTGTGGGGAGCAGTATCATAGGGACTGAGTTCAGGAGAGCCGTGACCCCAACTCTGCCTGCCCCTCTCCTGCCCCAGCCTTCTCTCTCTCCCTCAGGCCCTCATTTTCCTTTATCTAAAGGCTGTAGAAAGCCTAGGCCACCAGCCTGCATGCATCTTCACTAGCCTGCCCCTGACCCTGGCTTACCTGGCTTAGAGAACCCTAGGTCTGCTGTTCTCTTCCGCAAGGAAGGCATAGGGTGGGATCCCACCTGTGCCCTAGACTGGCTACTCCCCAGGAGAGCATCCATCTTATCACTCGTCTGGGGGTCCCTTTTAAGAGGGATGTAGCTGGGACACCGGTTTAAGGGAATCCACCCCTTTGCGAAGTCAGAATTGACAGAACCCGACTGAGATCTCCCAGGGGGAGAGCTTCTAAGTACACTGAGCCTCACAAAGCAGTGAGCACCCCAGCATGGGGCTCTTCAGGCCAGGGCTGGGGGCTCTTCAGGCCATCCACCCCTTTGCGAAGTCAGAATTGACAGAACCCGACTGAGATCTCCCAGGGGGAGAGCTTCTAAGTACACTGAGCCTCACGGGGCTCTTCAGGCCAGGGCTGGGGGCTCTTCAGGCCAGGGCTGGGGGCTCTTCAGGCCAGGGCTGGGGTCTCAGGATGCTCGAGAGGGATTTCTTCGTGGCGGAGACAGACTGGGTGAGCTCCAAGAGAACGTCTGTCTTGGAGGTTCTGGAACCAAGCCTGTGCCTGTCATGGTCTTGAGGTGATGAGAGAGTGGGGGTAGGGGCTTTTGTGTCACAGCAAGCCCAGTTCAGGCCTGAGCCCATGTCCCCAGCCCAGCCCCACAGCATCCGGCCTGCTGGCTTGATCTATTCTCCAGCAAACCGAAGTGCGCAGTGGGCACAGAACCAGCTTCCAGCCTGGTGAAGGTGGTGGGAGGCCATGGGGATGTAACATGGGTGTCAGCGTATTCAGAAACTCACAACGAGTGTGGTCACCCCGAGCCTACGTCGGTGTGTCTTGCAGTTTCTGGGTGGCTTGCTGACCACCATCTTCCTGGACATCATCCACATCAGCCTCTTCTACCCACGGGCCGGCCTCTCAGACACACTGCGCTTCAGCGCCGGCATGGCCATCCTCAGCCTGCTCCTCAAGCCGCTGTCCTGCTGCCTCGTCTACCACATGTACCGGGAGCGTGGGGGTGAGCTCCTGGTCCACGCTGGTATGCCCCACCCTGGCCAGCTCCCCACTCTTCTCTGCTCCCTGCCTGCGTGTGTAGACACCCCACACCAGCTGGAGGGTGGACACGCTCCTGGTCTGCTGCAGGAGCCTGGGGGCCCCCTACTCTCATGTGACCTTCTGTTGGTGGCGGTGGCAGCAGCCAGGCCCTTCTCAGCCCAGAGCATGGCACAGCTGGGTATGATTCTGTTCCCAGAGGCACTCCAGCCTGAGACCCGTGGGCCCCTGCAGGAGCAGTGTCTTCTCTCCATTTTTACCTACCTGCCTGTGAAGCCCCACACTCCAGCCACGTGGGGGTGTCCCTCCTGTGGCTGAGACAGCACTGTGTGGCCAATGGAGAGCCACTGGTGTGGGCCATGGGAGCTTCAGTCGAGATGGCACTGGGTGGCAGGCACTTTCCCACTGCTGGCCCTCTACCCTCCAGCCACTCTTGCCCTCTCTCCACTCCTGCACCCCTCCTCGTGGCCAGGCTGGTTTCCTGCTCTCTGACACGTGTTCTCATTTCCTTTCTCTCTCTCTCCATCATGGGGAGAGGCAGGAGGTGGGCTTCTGCCTTTCATCCCTGGGAATTGCAGCCTGGAGTGGCCTGGGGCTGGCCTGGGGGAACAGCTGGGGCAGGGGCTGGAGTTGCCTGGGGTGAGGGGAGCCAGGTCCATCCTGCCCTTTGGGCAGATGAGGAAACTGAGGCCACAAGCTTTGAGACTTATTCAGGATTTCAGGACAGACGTGCCAAGTGGGGGGTGGGAGTGAGGAATGGGGGCCCTCCCACCTGCCCTGCACCGTGGCTCTAGCTCTCTGGGTTAGGCAGCTGTGCCAGGACATGGGACTGAGGGGGACCAGAGGAGCCTATGGTCCCGGGGCTAGGTGCCCTCCACATGTCCTGAGCACGTGCTGCTGAGGGAAGCACCATGGCATGTAGCCAGGAGCACGGGCTTTGGGGTCGTGCCTCCTAGGTCTGAGGCCCAGTGCCATCAGCTTTGAGTTGCATGCTCTCAGACAAGTCACAATGTCTTTGACCCTCCGTTTTCTCACCTGTAAAGTGGGACATAAAAACCCCCATTTCATAGGGGTATGGGGAGTTGGCATCAGGATGCCCAGCTCTGGCATGAGGGCAGGGGTGGGCCTTGGTTAGAACTCAGTAGAACATGCTGAATCACGCCCCTCGTTTTTCCTTTCTCTCTTGTTCTCATCCCCCAGGCTTCCTTGGGCCTTCTCAAGAGCGCAGTGCATACCAGACGATCGACTCTCCTGAGTCACCTGTGGACCCATTTGGAGAACCAGAGGGCCAGAATCAGGCTGCCCGAGGGTACTGAGGCCAGCCCCTCTGCGCCAGGCCCCCTCCAAGCTGCATCGCCTTCCATGTGCCTGGGAGGCCGTTCTAAGGACACGTCTGACTTCCTTTCTTGGACCTAAGGATGGAATGTGTCCTCCTGTCCTCCTTCTGTTCTTCATCTCAGGGGTTGCCTGAATGGAGTATCAAGAGGCTGGGAGCCCCCATGGACCGCCCCCGCAGCCACATGCACACACCTGTCCTAAACTCCTCAAGACCTCCACTCCCTTCAGGGCACCCGACATGCCCCCAGGGTGGAACTGCTGCCTCTCTTCTCCTACACCACAGCTGCACCGTGCAGGCCCTAGGCAGAGTCATGCCTGAGTATGCTCAGGTCAGGCCTGAAGGGCCGGTATTGCCTGCTCGGGCTACCCCACTCTGTCAGGCCCTTCCACAGAAGCTGAGAGCTTCAGGTCACGCTCCACCCCTGCAGCCATCTGGCCTGTGGGTGAAATCCCTGTGCTCCTCACTGCCTGATCACTTGGTACCCGGGCACCCTGGGGCTGGAGGCAAGAGGTGTCTGCAGTACTCGAGACCACCACAGCCTCCTGCTGCCATCCCAGAGCCATGGCATTAAAGTTTGGGGAATTTTGTAGCTGTGCTGTGTTTAACTTGCTGGCCTGGGGCCTACACTTGCCATTCCTGGGGAGGTCTCCTTTGAATATCCAGGTGGACCCAGGGCTGAGCTGCCCTGCTCTGTCGTGGCAGGAGCAAGCACCGCTCGTGTACTGACTGACTGGGCTAGGTCTAGCTAAGGCCACAACAGAGGAGCACACAGTTGGTGTGGCACGTAGGCACGTGTTTTTCTAAATCAGATGGCCCCGGGCATTGGTTCGAGCTTGCTCTGCTCTCCTAGGTGCCTTCAGTGTTGCCTGGGGAAGGGTAACGCTCCCTGAGAGGAGATTATGCAAATTCAGTGTAACCCACCTGGCTCGGGCAGGGCTCCCTAAGTGACAACAAAACTGTTAGCAGTGGAGGTGTTCCTTGAGCCAGGAATGATGTTGAGTCAGGAGGTGAAGGATGGCTTCTTCCTGGCAGCTCCTGAGTTCTGGCCACAGGGCCAGCTCAGGCTGACAGGTGTCCACAGGGTCCAGGGCCCACCCCACTGTGATGGGCTGGTCGTTCCCAGCTCACACTCCTCCCTGGGCCTCCTTGTTCCACTGTAACTTTGGTTATTAGTACATAAAGGCCCAGGCTACCCCCGTGTCCCTGACCCAAGAGATCAAGGGCTAGCGCACAGTCCCCACAGTGCTCCTGAGAGGGTGAGGGGCTACCAGGTACTGGGCCAGGACCGCTGTATGAGCTCGGGTGCCTGCACACCAGGGGAGTAGAAGCTAACTCTCATTGGGAGGACTCGAGGGGCAGGAGCTCTGAAGGGTGAACGAACACTGGAGGATACGAAAGACAAAGTTTCTTTTTTTAGAATTATTTATTTATCATTAATTTTAAAAGTTGCTTTAGGGCACATGTGCTCACCAGAGAGGGGCGGGAGAGGGAGAAGGCAAGCTTCCGGGTCCCGGCCTCAGACCGCAGTTGGCCATGTGAGAGTCTAGTGCCCCAACTACGACAGCACCTGCTGGCCCTTCCAAAGACCAAAAAGATCCCAAAAGCGTTCAGACAGAATAGAAATTGTCCTAAAAAGACTGACAGTTACACTGGCAGCCCGTGTCTCAACAGGAACCATGGATAGAAGTCAGAAGACAGTGGAAAGATTATCTTCAGAGTGGTGCGAAAAATAACTGCCAAGCTAAAATGTGTACCAGTGAGTTCTTTCAGGAATGAGGGTAAAAGAAGAAAATTGAACATGACGAAAAGGTTCGTCATCAATAGACCTTCAGTGCAGGAATGTCTGTCTATCGATGCGTGAAGGCATTTTTCTAGACGGAAGATCTGAGGCGCGTGAAGGAAACGGTAAGCCTAAGACACTACGGAAATCTGGAGGAGCTCAGCAGAGATGGTGTTCTCAAGTCTTTTTTTTTTTGGTGGTGGTGGTGGGTCTGGAAAGAGGATAAATAGAGGTCAAGTTTAGACTTTGTTAAAGATACATAATACATTGGGGCCAGCAGGTGGTGTGGTGGTTGAGGCACTAGACTCCCACAGAGTTGATCATGTTTCAAGTACCAGGCCTGGAGGCTTGGAACTCATGCAGGTACATATGTGTGCGTGCCCAGAACCCCCAGAGGAGAACGGAGGAGAAGGGATTGCGGTGTGGCCATCCCCCCTGGGGGTAATTTTTCACTTCCTCTCTCTCCATCTTTCTCTGTCTCTTTGGCAAGCATATGTGCCCTATAGCAAAAATCTCTCCTCAAAAGAAGATACATGATGGGCCGGCATGTGGCATGGCCGTTAAGGGCACTGGACTCCCACATGGCTGGCTGTGGTTTGAGTCCCAGACCTGGCGACTTGCTTTCTCACTTTCTCTCTCTCTCCCCCTCCCTCCCTCCTTCTCTCTCTCTCTCTCTCTCTCTCTCCTTCTATCTCTCCCCCCTCCCGGTCAAATTAAAAATAAAGTTAAATAAAGTAATTCTTTAAAAAAAAAAAACATGATAAATTATCTTGACGAAGCACTGAAATAGTAGAATGTAAAGCTCTAAAGTCTGCGATGGGGAAAAAAGCTTAGGAAAGGGATCAGCAGGTGGTGTAATGGTTACATCACTGGACTTTTATGTAGTAGACTGCAGCTTAAAACTCATGCTGGGTCGGGGACCAGCAGGTGGTGTGGTGGTTAAGGCGCTGGGCGCCCCACATGGCCAACCATGTTTCGAATCCCAGACCTGGTGGCTTGCTTTCTCACTTTCCCTCTCCCTCTCTCCCTCTCTCTCTCTGTATGTCTCTCTCTGGTCAAATTTAAAAATGAATAAATAAATAAAATTAAATAAATAATTCTTTAAAAACAAACGAACAAACAAACTCACGCCAGGTGTATGTGCGTGCACGTGCATGCCCAAAATCCCAAAGGGAAAACAGGAGAAGGGATTGCAGCATAGCCATCCCCTCTGGGAGGTGATTTCTCTCTTTGTGTTTCTGTCTCTCTGATGAGCACACATGCCCGGTAGCAAAAACCTCTCTACAAAGGAAAAAAAAAAAAGTTTAGGAAAAAGAAAACAGGATCAATTCTGAAAGAATGCAGGAAAGGAGAGAAAAAAATGAATTTGCTCATTAGCAAGCACAAAAAAAGATGTTTAAAGTAAGTATTACAGGGACTGACTGTGGTGCAGCAGTAAAATTAGGCAACTCCTGGTGAGGTTGACCTGAAGAGAAGGTTCCAAGTTTACACTCAGAAATCTCCCTGTATGTACCAGACACACACGTGCTGGCTGAGGGGGAGGGTGGATGGTGGGGTAAAGATCCTAATGGGGTGCTGTCTCTCTGTCTCTATCTCTCTGCCCCCACTCATGGAAGAAGTAAATTTTTTTAAGGCAATCACATTTGTAAGTGACTAAAATTGGTCAAGATACAGGACTGTCAAATCCAATTTTTAAAACGTTTTTCTTTTTGGGAACCAGCAGTTAGCGTAATGGCTATGTCACTGGACTCCCACATAGTCGACCGCGGTTCGCGTCCTGGACCCAGTGGCTTAAAACTCACGCCGGGCGCGTGTGCGTGGGTGCCCAAGATCCCTAGAGGAGAACGGAGGAGAAGGAATTGCGGTGTGGCCATCCCCCCTGGGGGGTGATTTTCGCTTTCTGTCTCTATGTCTGTCTCTGTCTGTCTGGCGAGCACACACACCCTATAGCGAAAAAAATCTCTCCAAAAAAATTACTTTTCTTTTTTTAAAAAGAATTATTTAACTTTATTTACATATTTATTTCAATCTGACCAGAGAGGGACAGAATGAGAGAGAGAGGAAGGAAAATGAGAAAGCAAGTCGCCAGGTCTGGGACTCAAACCGTGGTTGAGCATGTGGTAGTTCAACGCCCTTAATCATCACACCACCTGCCAGCCCCCCAACCGATTTTTTAAATTCCAGCTAGCTATATTGTGCTTACACGAGACACACCTAAAATATATGGCCACAGGAAGGCTTAAAGGAAAAGTTAAACCACACAGGAAAAAGGACAGTGTGATTGGTCAAGCGCACTGCACCAACGGGAGTGGGCAGGGTGGATTCCAGCCAGTTTTCCGACGGAGCTACGTCGGCAGTTTTAACTCCGTGTCTTGCAACTTGACGCACTGCCCAGACGCCAAGACGCAGGGGCCGGGGCCGGGCCAGAACCGCGGTGCGGACAGCAGAGCACTTGGGCCGGTGCGCGGATACTGGACGACTGGCCACGCCCACACATCCCGGAGCCTCCCCAGATCCGGAGTCAGCGCAAGCCCCACCCCCACCCCAGCCCCACCCCCACCGCGCAGTCGGTCGTTAGCTGTCCCAGCGCTTGGTCCCTTCCAATTCCAGACTGGGAGAAGGAGGAGGACCCGAGGAAGGCGGACCTATATGAGGGCAGGACACCTCTTTTGGTGGGAAGAGGAGGGAGGTGCTCAGTATCCTTAAGTGGACAGGGATGGCCGTGGAGTGACCAGAGGGTGGGAGAGAAGGCCGTGAAGTCTAGAGGTGGACAGACGAGACAGCTGGGTGGGGGCAGGCAGGACAAGCTTCCTCATTTGGCCAGCGACTGAGGTGGAGGGCTGGGGGAGCCTGCACTGCGGAGACAGCCCTGGGTGAGCCCTTCTGCTGAGCCTTGGGCCGGGCAGGTAGACTTCAAAGGTCCAGTTTCCTCGTCTTTATTTATTTTTAAAATAATTACTGTATTTAACTTTATTTATTTATTTATTTTAATTTAACCAGAGAGGGACAGAGTGAGACAGAGAAAGAGAGAGAGAGAAAGCGAGAAAGCAAGCTGCCTGGTTGGGGACTTGAACCGTGTGGAAGTCCAGCGCCCTTAACCACCATACCTCCTGCCCGCCCCAAGTTTCCTCATCTTTAAAGCATGGAACCTGGGGCCAGCAGATGGCGTAATGGTTACATCACTGGACTCCCACATGGCCGCTGTTGGAGTCTGGGAACCCATTGATTTGAAAAATCACTCTGTGTGTGCATTTATGTGTGTGTTTGTGTGTGTGTGTGTGTGTTTGAGAGAGAGAGAGAGTGCACACGAGCGCATGCCCAAGATCCCAGGAGGGGAATGGAAGAGAAGGGATTGCAGTGGGACCATTCCCCTCTAGGGTGGGGGATGATTTCTCACCACTGTCTTTGTCTCTGGTGAGCGCATGCACCCTATGGCTAAAACCTCTTTTTTTAAAACAAGGAACCTGAATCTTAGGGCCATGATCATCACATGGTGCAGCTAACCACTGTGCTGTACCTAGCATAATTCAGTCATTCGTTTCACACAGGTTTGTGAGCCCTACTGTGTGCCAAATCATTCTGTGTGCTGTCAATACAAGGAAAATACAGGCAGAACAGCTGGCTCACAGGCTACTGCAGAGAAAAAAAGTCTCTTGGTTTGTTAGAGGGTGGTTCTGCTATGGAAAACAATACAGGGTAAAGAGGGAGGGGAACAGGAAGGGTGCCGTAGGGGCCACTGGCACTGGGCGGCATGCGGGGCGCTGGCACTGGGCGCCGTGGGGAGCGCTGGCATTGGAGACAGCCGTCAGAGAAGGGCTATGATGCTGACACAGGACTGGAAGGTGCGAAGGAGAGGGGCATTTCAGGCAGAGGGAACAGCAGTGCAGAGGCCCTGCAGTGGGAACATGGGAGTCATGTGGAGGAACAGCCAGGTGTGTTTGGAGCAGCATGAACAAGGGGAAAGGAGCTGAGGGCAGAGCCGGATCACACAGGGTGGAGGACAGAGAGCTTTTTTTTTTTTTTTTTTTTTTTTTCAAGAGAGATTTTTGATATAGGATGAATGTGGTAACCAGAGAAACAGAGAGACAGAGAGAGAGAAAGTGAGAATTCACTCCCCAGGGGGAATGGCCACATCACAATTCCTTCTCCTCTTGCGATTTTGGGCACACACACAATTGTGCCCAGCGTGAATGTCAAGTCACTGGGTCTGGGATTCGAACTATAGTCGGCCATGTGGGAATCCAGCATCGCAACCACCACACCACCTGCTGGCCTCATCAAACATTTTCTTAAAGGCCAGAGAGTAAATGTTTGAGACTTTAGTTTGCCAGCCCCTGACGCTCCCACAGATCTTCATGGGGTATTAAGTGTTCTGGGGGCCTGCAGGGTGACTGAGTTGCGGCAGGACAGGATCCGACTTAAGTGTCTACAGAAGCACTCTGCTGTGTGGGGAGCAGACTGTCTGGCGTGGAGAAAAGGGCAGAAGCAAGGAGACCAGCTGGGAGGCAGGAAGTGATGGTCGCTTTACCCTGGGAGATAGAGACGGAGGCGATGCACAGAGGAGAGTCCACCAGATCAGCTGACTGCAAGGATGAAGAGAGGGTGGCCCTCAGATTTCCGTCTGAGCCACAGGAAGGCTGGAGTCGCTATTCACAGAGAAGGGAGGCACTGAGGTGGGAGCAAGCTGGTTTTCAGAGATGTCCGGGAGTTCAGTTTGGACTGATGCTAAGATGCCCATCAGATATCCTGGCTGGGGGGACGCATGTCGAGGGGGCCTCCAGGCCTCCATTGTGTGGGGTCGGCAGGTCAGTGAGAGGTCTGGACAATGGGGTGGTCAGTATTAGAACTGTCTGGAGCTGAGGCCATGGGAGAATGTAGCAGGGAAGAAAGGAGGGTGCCGGCATGCAGGGCCCTGGGGCCTCCCACACCAGGAGTTTGGGGAGAAGAGGAGGAGATAGCCAGGAGACTGGGAAGGAGCCCAAGGGGAGGAAAGAGGGAAACCAAGACACAGCTTCCTGGAGTCAGGCAGCAGAGGTCTAGGGAGGGACAAGTGACCGCCCTGCTGGTGGCTGAAGCCACAATAAAACTGAGGGTTGAGAGCTGCAGTCTGGGAGGTTACCTGGAGGAGAGCAGTGGGGTGGGTGGGTGGAGCCTGACTCAAGCCAGGTCAGGAAATGGGATGTGGAGGGATGAGAAAGTGAGACGTGGCCTGAGACCGGGAGGCTCAAGAGTTTTTTGATTTTCTAGGTTTTTTTATTTTAAAATTCACTATAGGGCACATGTATTTCCCAGAGAGAGGCAGAGGGAGAGGGTGGGGAAGTGAGGATTGTTGAAATTGGGGCTCAAGTACTCCCCAGGGGTATGACGTGCTGCAATCCCTTCTCCTACATTATCCCATCAGGGTTTTAGGCACGTATGCACATGGGTCCAATGTGCTTCCCAAGCCCCCAGGTCTGGGACTTGAACTATAGTTGGCCATGTGGGAGTACAATGCCTTAACCACCATGCCACCTGCTGGTCCCACTGGTTTGTTTTTTAAAGGTGGAAGAAATAACTACCTGTGCTGATGGAAATGATTCAGTGAAGAAGGGGAAGGTTGATGGTGGCTGGAGGCACCTACGAGGTGACACAGCAGCTGCATCTAACCTCCCCCAAGCTCTGTGTCCTGAGACATGGCTGAGTCCATTGTGGGGGCTCTTAGGGGTGGTGGAACCATAGGGGGATGCCCAGGTAGGCGAGACTAGACATCACCCAGAGCTCAAAAGTAGGGTCAGACTGGGGCCAGGTCCTTGGTCCTTGGGAGAGGAGACAGGAGGGGAGGTGGCAGAGGTCAGAGGACAGAGGAGAAAATGAGTGTAAGTACTTCAGTGGGAGGGATGAGAGTCTATTGTGGGGCCTACCTGAGGTTGAAGGTGGTGGTTTGGGGAAGGCTGTCGCTGCAGTGATGGGATTGGCTTTAGCACTTCACCTGCTCAGGTGCAGCAAGGCTACCTTTGACCAGCATTGTAGTTTTGCCAAGTTTTGCCAAGCCTGAGTGCAGCAGAGAGGAAGCAGCTTGAAGATTATATTCCTGTTTATTTAGCTGTCCAAGGAGGAGAGACACCTAGAGGACAAGGGTTGGGGCTACAGGGTAGTGCAGTGCTGGAACAGGCAGAAGGATCTGAGGTTCGTATCCTGGGGCCTCCCTGTACCTGCCAGGAACACATAGGTCTGGAATCCAGGCCTGCTCAGGCTGGAGGTGGACCCGAGGCATCAGGTCCCTAATGGGGACTCTGTCTCTCTCCCTCTCTCTATGTCTTGGGAGAAGCAATAAATAAATGAGAGGCAGTCAAAGGGTGGTGGGGTCAGAGGCAGAGGTCTCAAGGGGGAGGGATGTTGGAATTGGGGCTCAAAGTAGCTGAAAAGACAGGGGGACTCTGAAATGGAATTTATGGCAGTGGTGCTGTTATTTTGGACGACAAAATAGAAGGGGACTATGGGACTGGAGTGGGTGACTGAGGACAAGATCACAGGAGGGTGAAGTTCATGGCCCTGGAGGCTAGGGGCCCTCAGATGACTCCTCAAGGATGGTGACAACTGATTTAGGTCACCAAGAATTTAGATGAATGTGTATTAGGGAGGTGGCGGTGAGCCAAGAACGGAGCTCTGCAAGGAAGAGGTGCGAGCCGGAATTCCTTCGATGTCTGCAGGCAGCTTACAGCGGGGCCATTCTAGAGAAGAGGGAGGGGAGCGGTCTGGAAGGGCCACAGAGAGCAGAGGATCCCCCATCTTCTTCAGGTCCTCCCTTGAGAGAGCTGTCCCAGAAGCAGGGTCTGCAGGGGACAGCCACGGCTCTGTAGTCAGTGTTAGCGAGAGTAAGCACTGGAAGACACCAGAAAATGACCGTGGAAAGGGGAAAAGGTGTTGGGCAGGGAGAGGAGGCCCTGAGGGGTGTGCCCAGGCCAGGGCCAGGCCTAGGACACTTGGAGTTGGGCCGAGGGCAGCAAAGGTACTGCTGTAGAGGGGGGGTCAGGACAAGAGCCGCAGTGTGGTCAAGTGGGGACAGGCCTCCCTGTTCTCTTCCCACAGAGCTGTCTCATTAGACAGGCCAGACTGCCGACTGTGGTGAGGACCAAGGACACTGCTACCCCAGAGCCCATGGAGCTAGGGCCTGACACCTGCCACAAGGAGAATGAGCCCCCAAGGCCCGCAGCCCCCCTGAGGCCAGGCAAGAGGCTTAGTGGGCTTGGGTAGGCGGTTGCAAGAGCAGAGGCCCCTCCAGTTATCACCAGAGCCCCTTTCCCAGGTGGTCAGCCCACGGCCGGGCTAATTCTAGAGATTAGCCTCCCAGAGATGGCAGGGCGCAGAGCGGGTTTCCAGCCTGGGGCCTGAGGGGGGCGTTTCAGGAAGGGGGCAGTAGTGGGCCTGACTGGGGCCCCTGGCTGTGAGGCATGCTGGGCTGGGGCCCTCCAAGCTCAGGCCACCAGGGCTGCGAGAAGGGACAGAGCTGGTCCAGACAAGGGTGAGAGCAGCCTCACAACGAATCCAGATTCTGATTCACATCCCAGTTGCTTCCTGCTCGAGCTGTGTGACCACAGCGCAAGTTGCCTAACCTCTCTGGGCTGTAGTTCTTGTCTACATAGTGGCGACCTTTATGGCCCTCACTGCCCACCAGGCCCTATGGTGCGCCCAGGCATCTCAGCAGTTCCTATGAGGATTCTGAGGCTTTGGTGGAGCAGCCTTAGGGGCCAGGGAGGGGCTCCCCACTCCTACCGCCCTGATAACCAGAGCAACTTCCTTTCAGCTGTTTGATAATTGGGTTTTACTTTTGGCTTAGCCTGCTGCCCCCATCACCTCTTTGCAAAAGCCAAAAATCAGGAAGTCGTCCCCGAGACTCTTCTTTCCTCCACCCCCAGCCTCCCAAGCCTGTTGGCTCTAGCGTCACAGCTTACCTGCATCTCCTCTCTACCCACCCTGTACTCCCGATCCCAGCCTCTGTCATCTCCCTCCTGGGACCCCCTCAGTGGCCTCCTAAATGTCTCCCCGCTTCCCTCTGTGTCCCCACCCCTAGTCTGTGCTCCATGCAGAGGTACCAAGGCAGACCGTGTCTGATCCAAGACCTCTAGGTGCTGCCCACTGGCCCACCTGGGGAGACAGAACTGGCAGCCGATCCTGAAGTCCTGGCTCCCTCCTGCCTGGGGCCCTGTCCCCTCGGCTCTGAGGCCTATGCAACCCCACCTGAGCGCTGACTCCCAAGTCCTCCCTGAGGGAATGACTGTCTCTTTCTCTCTTTAGACCAATGGAGACTCCTGAGACACCAGGGCGTCTGCCTGGGCAGTGAACATGTCCCCTGGATGCCCGTGCATGAGGCCAAGAGGGGAGAGCCAGCCACCACACCTTCCCCAGGGCTAGTGCTGCTCCAAGGGCCCTGCCGGGTCCAGACCAACTTGACCAGCCCTGGTCCCCACCTGGGCCGAGTCCTGAAAGACACGACTGACAGGCTGGTCAGTTCAGGCTTCCAGCAACAGAGCAACTTGAAGCCCCTGACCTGGAGGCCCCAGAGAAAGGCTGGAGAATTTGCTGTCCAGCAGTGTAACCTGAGCCTAAGCGACACCACCAGCCCCTGTCAAGGGCCACTGGCTTGCTTATCCCCCACCCAC